CATAGACCTGGCTCGGATGCCACTGTTGGGGAACGCAGTAATTTCAAAAAAATTCCTACGCACACGCAAGATCCATCTAGGTGATGCATAGCAACGAGAGGGAAGAGTGTTGTCCACGTACCCTCATAGACCGTAAGCGGAAGCGTTATGACAACGCGGTTGATGTAGTCGTACGTCTTCATGATCCGACCGATCCTAGCACCGACGGTATGGCACCTCTGTTGTGGATTTGTCATGGCAGATGTCCTAGTGTGAGGACTTGTTGTGAGGCCAACACATCTATGTGGTAGCTTGAGAGGGGTTGATCGAAATCAAGAGACGCAACACAAGACAAGGGTTTAGACAGCTTCGGACCCCGGGAAACATCATCCGGTAATAACCCTACATGATGTTTGTGGCTAGGTCTCATTATCATCAAGAGGGAGTCTCCATGTAAGCCGGCTCCCCTTTGTTGTGTCTAGCCTTCGAGGTTATTTTGCCCCTCTTGGGGTGCCCTGCCCCTCCTTATATAAGTTAGAGGGGCGGGTTACATGTGGAGTCCTAGTAGGATTAGGACTAGTCTATCTTCTATTACAAGTTGGATACAAGTCTGGGTCTTGCTTCCTCGTAAAGGAAATACTCCTCATGCCTTTCCTCTTAAGACGACCCACCATAACGTGAGCCGGCCTTCCGGGCGTTGCACCTTGAGTTGTCCGTCTGACCCACCCGCCAGGTTACTAATGAGTCGCCAAGATCGGGCAGGTTACCCATGAGTCGCCAAGCTCCGGGCGGGTCACCAGTGAGTCGCCACACTCCAGCTGGGTCATACATCCGAGAGGTTACACCGCGGGGTATATCCCCGACATTAGCCCCCAGTTTAACTTAGATTTATCCATGTTAAACTTTTGCTGCAAAATAAACACAAGAACAAATTTGACAGGCTGTGCTCCGGTTTAAAAGTTCTCCTGAGCCGGCACCTGATCAACCTTAAGTCCTTGTCATTTCCTCCTAGATGCGTGTCCATGATCTCATAGCAAATCCCCTTTAGAAGATATGTTCAAACTTTGCCAATGCAAAAAAGTCGGGCACTTCTTCCAAAAAATCCGGGTCAATAAGCCAGCTTCATAATCAATTTGCTCACATTGGTCTCTTGTAGAGCAATATTATAAAAAATAATCCATTTGAGTCAGTTTCCAAAGCTCCAACTTAATAAAATATTGGACTCAAGATATTCATCTGGTGATCCACCGGCTTGTAAATATTGATAACACCGAGTCACAACTGTTGCTAACACCAAGCTTGAAAGTGTACCTCCATTATATGCATATCACTTGTAGCCCCCAAGTCTTAAGAAAGGAGCGTAGTAATAGATTAAGACTTGTTTCAATATAAACATCACAACTTTGAAGAAATCCGAGTTTTGTTCATCTCAATCACTATTCATAAACAGAATATTCCACATATGTAGCCCCCAAGTGCCGGGTTGTCATGCTTGCAGCAACCTGGGACTTATAATTTCCTTATGCTCATAAAATTTCAACCAATGTAGCCCCCAAGGACCGGGCCACTATGCAATAATGAGCAGGGACTTTTGTAGATATGATCATGTAAACTTAAGCTGCAACATGTAGCCCCCAAGGGCTGGCTCAGTAAGATAATACTGAGCTGGGACTTTATATATATTTCACTGAAAATAACATCATATAATGTAACCCCCATCATGGGGCTTGAACCCATGTCCACCAGGTTAAGAGCCTTGTTCTTCTACCAACTCAGCAATGGGCCCTTCAACATAATGGATTAAGGCTTGTGTACTTTGAATTTTTTGATAGGAGCAATTGGCAGCCCCCAAGGGCCAGCTCATTACGATGTGATGAGTCGGGTCTTCAATAACCCAAGTAGAAAAATGACCTTGCATTAGCCCCCAAGTGCCATGGTGCATGCTGGCAGTGACATGGGACTTGCATATTTGATGTAATATCAATCTGAATAATGTAGCCCCCAAGTGCCGGGTCGTAAACCTGCAGCGACTCGGGACTACTCCTTCCATTATAGAATACATCATATCCATTGATAAGGAAACAATAGCCATTGCGCTAAAGCGACTTTGAAAACCTCAATCATTCAATATCATAATGAAAATCCAGCCAAGTTGGCTATTAAAGATTGGAATAATATAATCTGGCAGCTCTTGACCAATAGCCACTTAATGCGCATCCATTGTCCTCCGGGATACAACCCGGTGGCTTATAACCTTTGCAAAAAATCAGGAATTGATAACCCTATCCATGGCGGCTCATAGTCATATACAATTTTTGAGAAGATCACTTTGGCGGCTCATAGCCTCAACAAACTCAATATTGAATAATATAACCCCGAGCAGAATAACCTGGCAATACTTTCAGATGGCCAGATGATGGGTTTAAACATAATGATTCATATGAGAAGAAGTAGTATTTTTATGTGTAAAACTCTGCATGTCCTACACAAAGTTTAAACAACATATGCCCTGATGACTTAACGTCAAAAGCCAGGGCGGGTAACAACCCAAACATAATATAGTCTTATGCAATTATAGAAAAGACTAGCATTAAGGCCATTCAAGCCTAAACATACTAGCGACTTAAAGTCAAAAGCCAGGGCGGGTTATCAAACCTCGCATATTCATATAACCAGGAAAACATACCTGTAGGATTGATTTATGCTGCTGGCTTACATCTCCATATCCAGTGAGAGTGACAATCCAATGATTCATAAGCGCATGATTCCAATGGCGCAATCCAAAATATACTGGCGACTTAACGTCCAAAGCCAGGGCGGTTTACCAAGCCCAAAATATTCATACCATTATTGAAAGACATACCTGTAGATTAATACCATGGTGATGCCTTGATAATTAAAATTCGGAGCCAGTATCAACCCAGAGTCCTGAAATATCATCATTTTGATTGCTCAAGGCAAAATATCCTGGCGACTTAAAGTCTGCTATCAGGGCGGTTTATCAAACCCAAAGATGCTCAATTATGAGTCATATAATCAAGGCTAGATGGCCTATGAAATCAGTTCATATTGCCGGCTTTACAACACCAGATACGGTAATGGTAATAACCCAAAGACTTAGAGCGCAACACCCTGTTCAATTTATTCATATTGCTGGCTTACAATGCCAGACAAAGCAAAGGGTAACATCCCAAAACCTAGAGTGCAGAACTCCAAGTGCATAATTATCACACACTGGCGACTTATAGTCCAAAGCCAGGCCGGGTTAATAAACACCGAGTAATTTCATATATGAACCATAAGGCATCATAGCCTTCATCGGATTTCAACCATGTATTAATATGTCCCAGGAGAGGAACCTCAAGAAATGTTCAAATCAAATAACAAAAAAATCAAGGCTTTCATAGGCGGCCAGGCCTAAAAATAAAGTGCTTTCAAGGGCCGCACAACCACTGAGTTAAACCTTCATACGAACCTTATAAGCCGGACCTCACATAACCAATCGTCGTTTTAACTTTGACAAGTTCAGGTTCTGTATAAGATTGACTTTTCAAAAGTATGGCGGGTCGTTTTAGGATTACCTGGGCGGAGTGGCATACTTAAAAAGGTAGGATAACCCTGGTTTTTAGGTGAATACACTTGGCTTCCAAGCCTGGCTTTTAAGCCTATTACCAGGGTCATAAAAACTCTTGTTTGTTGAACAAAGAGTCGCCAAGTAACATTATATTCCAGGCGTATAAGCCGGATTAACAAGGGTAGTCATAGCTATGCTCGATGAGCAGGAAGCCCCCAAGTATATATGAAGATGAGCCCATAAGGCAGGATAGCTATGTTTGAACAGCGCATCATGGCAACACGTTCTCGTTGGCAACCTTTAATTTTTCTGAGAACTCAAACTTGCGAGAGATGAATTCTTTTTGAACCGAAATTTCAAACCGGATATTGAAAGTTTCAAAGCTTTGTGGGAGACAGATTTCCCTTGAGCCGGATTTTAAACCGGAATCCTTCATTTAAGCCGAAAATTTTCTGACGGCCTTTAAATTTTCATCAATATGGTAGCAGTCTCCAGGACCGGGTTATCTTCCCTCCAATGACCCGGAGTTCTTGAATCTGCTTAAACTGGCAACATTTACAAAGCCATATCCATGTAGCCCCCGAGTCTTAAGAGGACTCGAGGAGTTGTCTTGAGATTCTTCATATTTGACCGTGATATAAATCGGTATGAGTCATTCAATAGCTCAGTGATATAACAATCCCTTTTGCAGTAGATAACCTGCCCTGCATTAGAGAACTTGCAAGCCAGAGTAATTGCTCTTTTAATGAAAGCAATATGTAATATAAAAATATACTGGATGGATATGTTAGGCTAAATCTTATCCACCACGGAGTTGATGATTACCATGGTGAAGCTGAAATCAATCGCGGCCAAGTCGGCCGCGGGAGCAGACAGATGAGTCGGCCATGGCGTTGTAAGCCGGTGCGGACGGGCGAATCAATCACAGGCGTGGTATGCCCGTGGACGGGCGATGCAATCGCGTTGTGTTGATGCCACGGGGGCGGTGACTTGCGCATGTATCAGTCCAGCAGCATGGCACGAACACGCTAGTGCAAAAATAATATTGGCGCACGCCCCTTTGCGACACCTTTGTAATGAATAATGGTCCTACGAAAATTTACCACAAACCAAAGTAATTGTTCTTTGATGAAAACAATATGTTTAATAATAAACTTGGATGGATATCACTTGTCATTTTTTGTCAGATAAACTAAGACGGAGCAGACCAAGTTTCAATACGTAGATAAATCCATAGTTGGAATTATGGATAGCATCCAGTAGCCCAGCGCCAGGTCAAATTTCCTGGCATCATTGACGTGATTCTGGGTAGATTTTATCTCCTCATTGTTGTAAATGGTAAAGTGACAATAGGGCCCTCCCCGTGCCGTCTCTCCTTTCTTTACTTTCATTTTCTCTTCTTGCCAGCACTAACTACTGGAATAGCGAGGAGCCAGTGCTCCCGCGGATGGAGGTAGAAGTGAGGCTGGGCCCTTCAACACACCCGAAAATCCCTGAGCTCACCGGCATGAAAAAAAAACCCATAGCAAGTATGTTCTCTGTATCCGCCGAAACTGAAACTTGCGTTTCTTCAGTAGCCAATTGAGTTGAAGCAGAATGTTTGTGGACGTAAATATTCAGAAACCCTCACCCCAGCAGCAATTTAACTTCTGCTCTAGAAACTTCCTGGCATCATTAAACTGATGGAATTGTTTCTCCAGCATGTACATCCATCCGTTTCTAAAATATCATATTCCATTGTGGAATAGAGCATCTTTTGGTCCTTCAATTTGTTGCAGTTTATCTTCAGTTTCTGTTGTTTGACAATAGGCCTCGGTGATAGAAGCAAGCCACCGGCTCAAGGCAAGGGACAACGAGGGCGAACCGAGACGGATTACGCCGCAACATTGAAGGCGACTCGCAGGCGCAGACGACTCAGCAAGGGCAGGGGTACTCGGGAAGAGTCCCAACGCGGACGGGTGCGGAAGAGGCTGGCGAGGTCCGATGGCAACCTGGACAGGAGGCAACTTCACCAGGAGGTAGGGCGACAGCGGCGACTTCAGGTCGGTTGGCGCGGTGGCTTGCAGTAGCGGCTCCAGGCCGGTCGGTGCGGGGAAGCTCTCCGCAAGGGTGAAACGACGGCGGAGGCACGAGGCGCCGCACGGCTCAACAAGGTGGCTCGGGGCAGCGGCGAGGTTAGCCTGGCGCGGTCGACAGTGGCTTGACACCGCGGACTAGAACCGCGGGCACGAGTTCGTGCACGACCGAGAAAACCCGCAGCAAGACGACTCAAGGCGAGAGCAAGATGCAGCAACGACGGCTCGTAGTAGAAAACGGGTGGCTCAACGCCAGAGTGAGACGTGGCAACGGGAGCGGGCAGCGCGGGCAGGTCGAGCGGCTCGGAGGAGGCAAACCACAAAGGCGGCACGGAGCTGGCGCAGGGATTGCGGAGGTCGGGGCTCGAGCAACAGGTTGGAGCAGCGGTGGCCACTCGGAGCAGCGCACGGCAGCCTCAGCAGCGGATACGGCTCATAGGGCCCCGGCAAATCCGTAGCAGAGGAGCGGACCGGTGATGCTCCGGTGGCGGGCGGAGCGAAGAGGCCGCATGGGCCAGCCACGGGGGGATCGACCACGGCGGCTCAGAGGCCACGCCGGCCAAGGGAGGCAGCACGGAAGCCGGGTCAACTCTGTATCCACTTCTAGATCGTGATTGATTTCTTCAGGTGAGGGCGATTCCGTTTCTCTGTTTGTTTCCGGTTGTAACTATCTTCGGTGAAAAAACTTGGGCCGCCGTGACTCGAAGTGGCTTTCGTTCCTGGCACTTGACGTCTCGGCGGAAATTGCGATTGGTCTGATCACTGGATACGACGCACAGCAAGCTGTCGAAATTCTCTTGAACCTTTGTTGATCTCGATGGATCGTACAACACGATGGCAGCGTGCACAGATAAACCAAAACAGTCTTAATCTCATGCCCCGCCACCGCAGAACACTTCGTCAATCTTGACTGATAACTTATAGTTGATATGAATTTTCCACGCCGGTTTGAGCCGGAAAATTACAAACTTCTCGAGCCCTAGAAAAGATCCCTTCAAGAACTAAACACCACCGTGCGCAGGCCCCATGATGGGCGCCAACTGTCGTGGATTTGTCACGACAGATGTCCTAGTGTGAGGACTTGTCGTGAGGCCAGCACATCTATGTGGTAGCTCGAGAGGGGTTGATCGTAATCGAGAGACGCAACACAAGACAAGGGTTTAGATAGCTTTGGGCCCCAGGAAACATCGTCCGGTAATAACCCTACATGTTGTTTGTGGCTAGGTCTCATTATCATCAAGAGGGAGTCGCCGTGTAAGGCGGCTCCCCTTTGTTGTGTCTAGCCTTCAAGATTATTTCGCCCCTCTTGGGGTGCCCTGCCCCTCCTTATATAAGTTAGAGGGGCGGGTTACATGTGGAGTCCTAGTAAGATTAGGACTAGTCTATCTTCTATTACAAGTTGGATACAAGTCCGGGTTTTGCTTCCTCGTAAAGGAAATACTCCTCATGCCTTTCCTCTTAAGCCGGCCCACCATAACGTGAGCCCGCCTTCTGGGCCTTGCGCCTTGAGTCGTCCGTCTGACCCACGCGCCGGGTTACTAATGAGTCGCCAAGATTGGGTGGGTTACCCGTGAGTCGTCAAGCTCCGGGCGGGTCGCCAGTGAGTCACCACACTCCAGTCGGATCATACATCCGGTGGGTTACACCGCGGGGTATATCCCTGACAACCTCCGCGATATGCACTCGTTTAGCTCGCTGACATCCCACGAACTCTAGATCCAGCTGAGTGTTGGGGGAGAGCTTCGTCAGCACGACGGTGTGATGACGGTGATGATTAAGTTACCGACGCAGGGCTTTGCCTAAGCACTAAAACGATATGACTGAGGTGGAAATCTATGGAGGGGGCACCGCACATGGCTAAAAGATCAACTTGTGTGTCTATGGGGTGCCCCCTCCCCCGTATATAAAGGAGTGGAGGAGGGAAGGACACTACAAAAAAAGACACATCCGTGACATTTTGGGCCAAACGAAATTTTTTCTGTCATACATATGACACTTCTATGACAATAATTGTGACAAAACCCGGTATCATCATAGATGTGGTGGGCTCCTACTTCTATGACAAAAAATCATGACAGAAAATGGGATTTTCGTCCTGGGTGGGCCGGAGACGCGGCTGCATGAAATTCTTTGGGCCGTCCATGACGGAAAAAACCGTGGTAGAAAGCGAGGGCGAGGAAAATTTCAGGGAGTTCCCGGTTACGGTGGAAGGTCGGGGGCCGAGCGATGCGCGTTTCTCTTGTAGAAGTACGCGCGTGTGTGCGAGGCGTTGGCTCTAACTGAACCCGAGCGAGGCATTGGGCTCTAACTGAACCCGAGCGATTGCACTGCAGGCTACGCATTACTGAACCTGAGCGATCGATCGATGGCTGTTAACTGAACCCGATCGAGCGATTCCTTCGCTACTGCTGCTAACTGAAGCC